TATCCTGCCTCTAACTACCCCCAGAATAGTAGCCAGTCACTGGAACCTCTGCTACTACTACCACAGAAAGATCAGCTTCCTCTACTGCTGTACTTTCCAAGAGAAGTGTAGTCTCCCTTTTATTTCTACCTTCCAAACCACACAGAGGTTCATCTAGTTGGCAGAAGGCAGGTCACAAGAAGAACGTGAGCTCTAAGACAGTACAGGAAAGGTAATCTTTAGTTTTCTACCCTCTAGCTCTGGGTAAGCCATGTTATAAGGCATTAGTGCTCAAACTTGAACTTGCATCAGAAGCACCTGGGGGTATGTTAAGACATACATTTTTGGGTTTGTGATTTAGTAGGTCTGGGATAGGGGCCCCCAGAGAATTTGCATTTCTATCAAGTTCTCAGGTGATGATGATATTGTTAGTCAAAGGCCATACTTTGAGAACCACCGATCTAAGGGACATGGAATAGATTTGAAAAAGCTAATCTGCAAGGTATGTTAAAATGTGCATAAGAATCACCTGTGTAGGGTTTGTTCCACTAACAGATTTTCCAAAACACCCATTGACTAGGTCTGTGGTAGAAGCCAGAGACATGCACTTTTAACCAGTTCTCTGATAGTTTTATTTTGGTAGACTATGGGAACAATTTGAGAAATATTATGTTGGAGCAGTGATTCTAACCCTTGCCTGCATATTACATTGCTCCAAACAATGATAAAAATTACTGATGCCTTGGTCCCATCCTTTGCATTCTGATTTGTTGAATGGACAACCACCAGAGCTCTCTGAGTGAATCTCATGTGCAGCCAAGATTGGGATGCACTGACCTAGAAGAATATGTTGATTGAGAATGCTGATCAGCTACCTTCAGTTGGTGGGCTAAAGTGGATTTTTTTCTAAGCTAGTCATATTGGAGGCCACTTTTAAAGGCTTAGATGGTTTGAAGTAATTTGACTACATGGATTCCACTGCATGAAGAGAGATGGGCTAATCTTTACATTGCCATATTTTTAGTAATAGAAATGTTTTTTCACTGTCTTGGGAAGCCATTTGAATCTTGGGACTTCTAGAGCCTTTATAAGTCCATTGGTTTATTCAGTCATTCAAAATCCTTCAAAGTCTGCTTAGCACAGAAAAATTTCTTCAAAGAGTCTATAATTTTAGACAAATGACCATATTATTAAAAGAACATATGAGTCTATAATATAGATCATGAATGAAAAGGCAAAAGGCAAATAGAAGGAGGCAAATATATCTACATCCATATTAATCTTAGATGAAGCTTTAATGCGTAATTAGAGTTTTATCCAGGATATTCTAGAAAGATTGAATAAAAATTTGGCCCTTCCTTAAAGATTAATCTTTTCTAGCTTGTGTTTGAACTGTAAATTCTCCGAGAGTAGGGATTGAATTTATATTTTATTTTACATTGATCTATTATTCAACAGGGAGCTGGATATCTAAGTAGAAGAGAAAAGGGGGGCAACCCCTTTTTTTGAGTGACTTATCTGTTTCTAAAAAGAAGAAAAAGATGCTGGTATTGAATTAGGCTGGGTACTCCCATTCTGTTAATATGCCATCACCACTCTAGGATATGAAGAGTGAGAATTTTCTTCTGAGATTATGGCCTCTTGATTCTCATTTTCTCTCTGGCTTCTTCAATACTATCTCTTTTCCAGGCAAACTAATACATGAACAATCTAATCAATGTGCTGCATGACTAAAGTGTAACTGCAAATGTTAGCTCCCGGGGGAAAAAAGATTGAGAGCAAGAGAGAGTATGTGGTGTATGAGAGAGAGAGAGATTGAGAGAGAGAGAGAGAGAGAGATGATTCATCAATCATGTTTTGGGTGGAGAGGTGAATAAATACATATTTAACCTTTAAACACAAGCACTTTGGTATTTGAATCAGTTGAGGAATGGAAATCTTTCCAAAACATGACATGCTCGTCTCTACTTTCTTGGGCCAATGATACTCATTTCCAAACTTTCTCTTACCCATGAAACGTATTCATTCATTCATTTGATCATCTATCCAGCAAATATTAATTTGGCATCTCCTGTATGCCAAGCACTGTACTCAGCCCTGGGGATATAAAGATACAAAAAACGTAGCCCCTGCCTTCTCCTGCACCTTCAGCATAATAGATGTGGCTGTAGATAGATATACTGTTGGGTGAGACTAAGAGGGAGTTGATTATAGCATGGCTCACATGGCCTTGCATAAGAAAGTCAATGAAGTCAGCTTTTGTTTTGGTCATTTTTTCTCTACTCATAATGAATAACTCAATAAAATATGTCCAGTTGTATGACCATCTAGGCAATGTGATATGACAGTTTGTCTACAAATTAAAGAAATACACCAAAGACAGAAGCAACTTTTCTAAAAGTATTCTCACAAGGGAAAGAGACTTTTCTTTTTGTGTGTGTGGTTAAAGGGTCACCTTGGGTGGGCCAACTGAATGGACTTTGGAGGGAACATGTTGGGAGCTGGGCTCAGTTAAGTCAACTCATTCAAAGTCAAGACTCTGTACCTTTGGGCCCAGGGATGTATAAATTAGCTTATGTTTCTGAAGTCCCCTACTTAGCATGTCTCTAACTTGATATCCTTAGAGAAGAGGAGTATATGGCTGGATCTAGAGTTGAACCACCCCATGAGACTGACTACCATTAAACCAAGTTGCAGGAGACTGATATACAAACCAGAGCTCTAATATGTAAATCTATAATGAAAAATTTAAGTTTTGTTTTTTTCACAAGTTAATAAATTCTATCTGGGTAAGAAGTTCCAGCAGAAGCCCTGGTGTAACCAGAAGGCTGCTGATGGATAGGGAACCAGAGAGGGAGGAGGTGGCTGGATGATTTTAATATCTACTAGCTTCAGTTTCTATAGCTAAATGCAGCAACCTCTAGCCCAGAGACCACCTGCTGCAAGGTCTGGTAAGCTATGTTCATGGGCCAAGATACCTTTTCTGCCTTGATAGTGCTGAGTAGACACTGCCAATTTTGATCCTGACCCTCTTTTTTGATTCCGTGTTTCCAGAATCAACCCTCTTTGTGTGGATACATTTCCTTTGGCTATTGCCAACCCTAGTATAACTGAGTTTTTCTTCCTGTTTGGAAATCGACCTTTGAAAAAGCCTGATGTATTAATTTCATTTGTCAAGATCTTAAGAGTTATTTTGGTAGCATTTTCCTGTAGTCTATGTTCTTGGTATCCCATGTCTTGTTAGCTCAGTAAGACAGCTTGTCATCTGATAACAAAGCAGCTTTGCACCTCATTTAAATCTATAATTCTGAAATAATCTACTTCTGAAAACGTGTTTGAGGTCCCCCAGAATGACTGAAGTAGCTGGAAAAACAGCTTACCTATCTTTTAAAAAACTTTGAGGGTTCATAGTAAATGTGCAATGACTGGGGGTTCCAGGGTATTAAAATCTTCCAATTTTATGAGAACTTTCTGTTTTACCAGAAGCATTAAATCTACATACTTTTCATCTTTGACAGCTTGGCACCATGGATTCACTGGCCCCTGCAAGGGTAGAAGTAGACCAATAAAACCAAAAAGAACCAGTTTGAGTGTCATTATAAAACTCTCCAGGAGATAAAATATGCTCAGAAATGAATATTCTGTAGCATTCACAAAAAATACTCTGTAATCATAATTTGAAGACCTTCCTAAAGGTGAACTAGCTTTCTAAGGTCATATATATGTGGAACATCAACACCATATACCAGAAGAATGCAGAGCTCAGGAAATTGGCAGTGCCATCTTTTAAAACAAGTAATTTACTCAGCCATAACTCCTCTACCATGAAATTCACTCTTTTGAATTGTACAATTCAGTGGTTTTTATTATATTCACAGGGTTCCATAATCATCATCACTGTCTAATTTTAGAGCATTTTCATCACCCCACAAAAGAACTCTGTATCCACTAGCAGTCACTCCCCATTCTCCCTTCCCCTAGTCCCTGGCAACCACTAATCTACTTTCTGTCTATGGATTTGCTTGTTGTGGACATTTTATATAAATGAAATCTTATAATATGTGCCTTTTGTGCCTGGTTTTTTTAAAGTTAGCATGATGTTTTCATGGTTCATCCAATGTTGTAGCATGTATCAATACTTCATTCCTTTTTGTGGCTGAATAATATGTCACTGAATGGATATACCACATTTTGTTTATCCATACTTCACTAGATGGACGTTTAGATTGTTTCCACCTTTTGGCTATTGCCAAGAATGCTGCTCTGAACAATTGTGTATGTGTTTCTGTGTGGACTTATGTTTTTATTTCTCTCAGGTACATACCTGGGAGTGGAATTACTAGATCAAATGTCACCTCTCTGTTTAATCTTTTGAAGAATGCCAATCTGTTTTCCAAAGGGATTGTACCACTTTGCATTCCCACCAGCATGAATGAGGGTTTCAATTTCCCCGTATCATTACCAACATTTGCTGTTTTTCTTTGAAAAACAAAACAAACACACAAACTTATAGCCCTCTTGGTGGCTATGCCATGTTATCTTTTGCCTTCTTAATCACATTAAGTAGAGGAGAACTGCAGTGGATGCAGTTGGCACCCTACCTAGATCTCCTTTTTCCCCCTCCCAAACTTATCCCCTTAGCTGTTGGCAAATCACTGGTGCTACCTTCTCTGGAGATTTGTCCCTGAAAACCTCAGACAATGAATGACCAACAAGGGGATACAAAAGGCAGCCCCCATATGTCAAGGTGGGGCTCATTCTGTGGTACCATACTGTTCCAGAGCTTCCCCTTGAGACGAGGTCGAAACTAGTCTCTAGCTGAGACCACATCCTTGCTTAACTCCTCTGACTTCCTGCTCAATTCTGCCTTCCTCCTTCCCCTTCTTCCAAGAGCACTTCCCCAACAAATCACTTACACAAAAATTCCTTCTTGTTTCTGGCTCTGCTTCCTAAGGTGGGAGCTTTAAGCTATTTAAATAAATTCATGATCAGCATATTCTTTTTTTTTTTTTACACAAAGACAATTATTTAAGACCTTTATTAACAGGTGCTTGCAGTTTGTTGACTTTTTTGAAAAAATCAAGTTGTAAACTTTTATTACAAATTAAAAATGAAGTTCTTAAAAATCTCAACTTGACCAGATATGAAACAATTTAAAAACCTTTAAAGGCGTATTGAGAAAAACCAGGCTTTTTTGAAAAACACGTTTGTTATTACCAAAAAGAGACATCTTTAAGTAAAAATAATAAAAACCCCATGCTGCATAGATAATGCAGATAGTTCTATTTATCTGGTCAACGGGCAAAAGCAAGCACTTAAGGTCTTCAGCTCCAATCTTTTGTTCATTTCTCATTGCTGGAATTTCTTATTTCTTCTTGTTGGATGAATAAACCGGATGATGGTAGAGATGGTAAGCCGGCATTTACTCAGCCCCGCCCTGCTCAGCCTCACGAGCAGACGAATTCTCAGCTGGTGGATCGGCTGCTTTTGTCTCTTTGCTATCTTGTGGTTTAGAGTTTTCTGGGCGTCTGCGTCGGTAATTGAAGTTGCAACGGTACCGATGTTGAGGTGGCTGCTGACCTGGGGTCTCATCTCCTTGATTTTCTTTATCCTCTTCATTGCCGTCCTCTCTAGGCTGTCTTTGGCGAGGAGGGCCCCTGCGGAATCGTGGTCTATACCCCCCATACATATTCTGCCTCACTGGTCTACCTTGCTCTCCTGCACCCTGGTTGTCAGCACCCTCCATCACTTCTCCATGCACAGGAGGGTTGGAATATTGTGGTCGACGCCCATAGGGTCTCCGCATGTAGTAAGGTGGGAACCTTTGCCTGCAGTAGGGCCGGCATTGTTGGGCATGGCCTTCGGGAGCACTCTCTGACCCCCTTGTTCTTTTCCCCACTCTCACTATTCTGGTAATTTTGCTGGTGATTGCCTGGAGGACCCCTACGATGTGGATAGCGTCTATAATGGTTACTGTCTGCTGCATATTTACTGCCTTGAACTGGAATGCCACCAGGACCTGTAACATTTGCTGCCTCCACACCCTTTTCTCCTTCAACATCAAACTCCACAGTCTCTCCATCTCCTACACTGCATCAATGTGATGCAAATTGGCAACAGGGCCACTACTTCATCATAAATGCAGGGTAACCTTCTACACTGAGGGGACATCACTCTGGTTCCATGGTATGTCCATGCTTTGGTTATTGGACTCCCAGGTACCGGTGGGGCAGGTCTGACAGCTGCTCAGTCAGCATGGTTCCTTAGTGCTAGGCTGGCGGCAACACTTCCTCAAAGCACATTCCAGCAGGTCCCCTTACTAGCGTGTCATGAGATAAGACTCTTCCATTGCTTGGTGGATAGCTCTGCTGGCTTGTTTGCAGGTGCTGGCCTCCCTTGCTGTTAAAGAAATTGCACAAGGAAGTCCTCACCATTTTAAAGAAACCTTCCTTTTTTTCCTCTCTCCTCCCTTCAAGCTTGGCCCAGAGAGATGGGAGATAGGTCTGATGAATTTGTCACTGCTCCATGACACCGATTTAGGCTGTATATAGCTTTACATAGCTGGAGTGGAAACAGGAGGTAGGATTTTCTCAGTTCAGGCCTGGAGGCTCAGGGACTCTTGGTTTGTCCCTCTCCTCTATCTAGGGACAGTCATTTAAATCTCAGCATGGACCTGCACAGAATGCTGTGAAAAACAAGCTGCTTTTGCCACTCCTTGGTTTAAGAGTCAAAGATCTCAAGCGACACTCTTGAAAAGGATTCCCTGGTAAGATGCCCAGGGAATGTAGCATCTGGATGATTGCCACAGCTTGCAGGGTAATATAAAGCTGTGCTCTTGGGGTGTGTGCCTTGGGGCCCATGTGAAGGGCCTGGCTATCGGGGTCCTGGTGTTTCAAAAGCACTCAGGGTAGATAAACAGTAACTGTGTGATCTCCATTGTTGCATCAAGGAATTCATTTGAGAAAACTCAGCAGGAATAGAGTTGGCTGAGGACGGAATTTTTGAAACCCTTTTCTTGTTTTCACTTAGCAAAGTCCCAGTTGCAGCAATAGTTTCTGTCATTTGCACTTGAGCTTGGGAGGAGTAGAAGACACTTTGCTAACATTCCAAAAGCCTTAGACAGTGTTGGTGAGGGAGAGACGATGAGGGGCTATGTGGCGTTCATTTCTTGCAAAAATGAAATCATAAGAGAGACATATAGAAAGGGCCCTGTGAGAAGAACGCAGAGGAGATTCTACATAAGTCATTTCTGCAGCTGGTACAGCTCGGTGCAGAGGAATGTCACTTCTCAGAAGGCCCTCACGCTATAGTTGGGGGTACAAGTTCTAGGGGAGAGAATCCGCAGCCTTCCCAAATGTCTTCTCCTCCTCTTCCTTTGGTTTTTAGGTATCTGTTTATCTCCAAGACT